CTTTGTGCTCTTCTGCTGACCTTGAAGGATTTTCTGCTGGTGCTGAGCTTCATACATTGATTTTATGCTTTTATACTAATGTAGCTAAAAGGAATTGCTTACAAAGCTCCCAGTTACTGGTATCCCCACAGTTTACAGCATCCAGCTCAGAGGTGAGGCACTAAAAGCATTACTACAGCCAGTAATGACCATACAGTTCCTCTGTTTAGCAGCACCTAACAGATTCCAAAGGCTCTGGCTCAAAAGGCATGTTCAGGCTGAGAGAGCTGGTTATTGACAAGGCTGGGACTTCAAAATTCCATTCTTACAAATGGCAGGAGGGGATTTTGGTTTTATTTTAAAAATTCTTATTTTTATTTTAAAACCAAGCAAGAAGAGATTCACAGCCCATCAGAAGATGGCAATTCTATCAATAGCTCCTCAGACACCAGCGCTGCATCCACAGCCTTCAGCTCCATCTGCTGCTCCAGCATGGAGGCACCTGGGCAGGAGCTCATGGTGAGCCAGTGGGAAAATCAGGAGAGCAGCTCCAAGGTCTCAAGTAGTGAAGGTCTGGAGGGGATAAGATAGGCCTGGCTATACATGAATTTGTTTTCCTGACACTCTTGCAGCTGTGAGAGCATTGCTAGAAGACCAGAGAAAGCTCACACACCTGCATCACTTCTGTAAGTCACAGAACAGAAGCATTACCTCACGTCACCTGTGACACGAGTGGTGTTTGGGGAACTGATCCATGACAGAGGCAAGCATGGAACATATCCACAGCAAGGACAAAAAAGGAAACTGGGAGAAAGGTCCTAGAAGACTCTGCACTGGAGGAAAAGTCTTGCCCATCAATCAGGAAATGGGATGTAGCACCATACTGCAGGCAGTCAGGAATTGCATCCCTCCAAATCAGGGCAACACCACTGCAGAGACCAGTCCTCAATGAGCAGAGCACAGGAAAGCAGCAAAAGTCAACATGGTCCTCACAGCCCCACCCAGCTGAACTCCCCTGCAATCCCCCAGGGACACACACTCTTGTCCTACCTCATAAATCCCAGGAACATGAGGAGGATGAGGCTGACGAGCCACCCTGCTGTCGCAAAGGCCTTTGGCATCGTGAGGGCTCCTGTCCCGACGATGAGGTTGAACATGTAAACCAGGCCAACCTGCAACCAGCCACACGATCCAGCATCAGAGCGTGCCAGGAATCACCCAAAACACCTCACGCATGCACTGACCCACACAGAGAGGGCAATCCTTGAGCGGGCAGGGTGGGAGCAAGAAATAACTAGAGGAGGGGACTGATAAGCAAAGGGAACAAAGTGAGTGTCAGCACATTTCTGGAAAAACTGATATTCCTCTCCCTTTTCCTAATTATTTAAAAATATTTTTTCTTTCTATTCTAACTCTTAAAGTTAGAAAGCACACGAGCTTTTTATTTGTTTGTTTTCAAATCAATGCCTTCTACCAGAAGGTCTACACTGTGGGCTGGGGTCTCTCCTTGTTTTCCAACCTGAACCCAAGCAGTTATAACTGTGCACCTGAGTTATCTTTCAGAAGTGCTTGTTCTTCTTTATTCTTAGTCAAGCAGGAAATATCCAAAAAGAATTCTAATTCAAAGCCTACTTGACATTTTACCAGTAAGCAGCTGAGCACCTTCTGAAGAAGGGATTTTACTTCCTGAAGGGAAAGGATTTTATCTTCTCTGGCAATGAGCTTTTTTACTGCCCAGGGACAAAAGAGAACTCTGCACCTGGACAGGACCCCCCAGGCTATGCATTTAGCTGAATTCAAGATCAAAAATTGCCACAAAGTTGTTGTGCTTTGGGGGTTTTATTTTAATATAGGTCAGAATCTCTCCAGAGGAGAGCCAGTAAAGAACTGTCTCTGAGCACACTTTTGTGGGCGTGGAGCAATTACCACCAGGAGAACTATTCCCCAGAGACCCTGCAAGCACTTCACTGGCATAAGCACAGCAAATTCATCATGTGCTGAACCTCCCAGAATGGTGATTTTCCTTAACTTTGGTCAAGCAGACAGAGACAAGGATGATGCCCATGAGTTCAGTCTGGTCAGACATCTTCAGGGAAAGGGAACAGTCACAGCCTTTGAGATTACTCCAGGAAATTCATGCAACACCAACTTAACAACATAAGAGCAGGTGACACTAATCCTTGAGGGTCCAAACGTCCCAGTTACTGCCTCAGTTCTCCATTTTCTCAGCTGTGTCCTATTTCTGCAGCCTAATATCCTGTTCTCCTAAATTCAATCCTTACCATGGGGATGAAAGTTTTAAAGCATTTAAAAGCCAGCACACAGATTTCGGGGCTGATTCTGTATCTAGTGAGTTCACTTCAGAAAAAAAAAACCAAAACATGTTTGCAAAGCTCTGTTTTTAAAAGCTGACATTTTATGAAGACTCGTGGCTATGAAAACCAGTATTTCCAGTAACATAGGAAAGCAGTAATTGGCTCTGGAGTTGCACCAGCCACCACATTACAGGAAAGAAATATCCTGACTGCTAATTTTAAGTGAAGTGGTTTAAAACAAATTACTGCAACAGCTACAATTAAGTAAACTTTGAGAAATTAGGGCAAAGCTTATATAAAGTAGCTAAAGAGAAGAAAGTGGCATAGTTTCAATGTCACAGTTCCTCCAGTTTATGCTGCTTCACATTACACTGTGGATTGAGGAAAACAGTAATAAAATACAAGGAAAGTGGGTAAAAGGATGGAAGAGATGGGACATGAAGCACTTTTTAGCTATACTTTAGGCAGACATCATCCCTTTATTTCAGTTACAGTAATCTCTGATATAAGAAAACCTCCATTAACTACAAACACTAAGCATTTTTAACTACCCTTTGACCACCATCGTCTCCTGACACACTGAGGTTATGCCCATGGGGAAGTGGGAACTGAAAACACAATGCTGAGGGAAGAGTATTTTGAAAAAAAGAACAACTTGTGGGCAAACCCAGAAGCAGCAGAACTTACATATGGAGAGTAAAGCTCTCCGGTGTCAGTGATGCCCCCTGCCATGATGGAGACGGAGGGGAGGCCCAGAGCACAGCCAGGAGGGTGTTTTCAACTTCTCTTCTCTTTAACCTGGGGAAACACCAGAAAATTTTGTTATTTTTGCTAGAAAGAGGAGGAACTCACCAGTCAACTTTTGTACATCAGTCTTCTGACACTTTAACAGACTTCAGCAAGGCCTTGCCCTTCGGACAGACCCCACTCACCAGCACCACTCAGTCCAACACTCCGTGAGTTTTCATACCTGTTAAACCAGTTTAAGAGCAACCAAAAGGCCCTGCCCTTTCACAGCACGTGATGACCAAACTTCACCTTCCCCAAACAGCCAGAGGGGCTCTTTCATATACTAAAACCTCAAGAGGAAGAATGACTGCCTTGAGGATGAGCTCACACTGCTGCTTCTCATGCAGCTACTACTCTTTTCAAGCACGTGCCTACTGCACATCAAACAGCAAAAACCAGCCTACAGCCTCTCCTCATAAATCAAGTACAGAAATAAGCAGACAAATTAAAACACTGCACCTATTAAAGACATGCCAAGGTGTTTTTCACGTGCCAAGGTTTCCAAAGCAGAAGTATTTGGGGAAAGAGAAGAAAGTGGAATAGTTTCAATGTCACAGTTCCCCCAGTTTATGCCAGTTCATGTGACAATTAAGGTTGATGAAAACATTAATGAAATAAAGGAAAATGGGTAAAAGGATGGAAGAGCTGGTGTGGGACATTAAACAGTTTTTAGCACTTTTAGATCTATAGTTTAGGCAGACGTTGTCCCTTTATTTTATTGAAAGTAAACTCTGATATAAAAAAAGGTGGAGGGGAGAACCAAAGCCTCATGAAAGGTTTCAGAGTCAGTAATTAGCCATAGTAGAATTGTTTAAGGGCTTCACACATCTACACGTGCTCCTACTCAGCCACACAAACTGGGACAAATCATCAGCACAAGCTTCACAGGTAAGAGCACCACTAAAAAAACAAACAGTTGTAAGCTGGCACACACGCGCTGGATGACAGAAATCACTCTGGCAGCACAGCTCAGAATGGTCATAACTGGACCAGCCTCAGGGAAGAGGCCAAACATCACCTTTTATGACAGACCTGGGCTCAAAACGCAGCAGCCGAGCTTGGCAGACAGGCAGCAAGCAGCAAGAGCAGGGGTGTGCTGACAGACAGCCCGGGGCACGGCCGGGACAGGAGCTCGTGCAGGGCCCGCACCCAGCCCGGGTGGACCGACCCCAGGGCCCGGGACCCCGCGAGGCCTCCAGAGCCCCCCGGCCCTGCCCTACAGCCGGAACGCCGCTCGCCCACCCCGCCCTGCCCGGGGAACCCCCGCCCAACAGAGCCCCCCATGCCGCGGCCTCCTCACCCCCGCCCGCTCACCCCGCCCCACACGACCCTCCTCCCCGGCCTCTCTCCGGCCCGCGGGCCCTCCCCCACCCTCCGCAGCCCTCATCTCCCCCGGACCCCCTCCCCCCGTCAGGGGTCGTCGGTCCCTCGGCCCCGCCCCCCGGGTCCCGCCGCTCTCCACCGGCGGCGGCTCGTGCCGGCGCCCCCCCCGCCGCGCGGGGGCACTCACGGCGCACGGCCCACCTTCCGCGCACCTGCACCGCTCGAGGCGGGCGGAGAGGAAAGCGCCGAGCTCGCGATTGGGTGGCCATGGACGGCGGGGGCGCTTCTAGGCGGGTTGATGAAGACGAGTGGGCCTGCTTGGACTGTCTAAAAAGGGGCGTGATCGGAGACAGGGAGGCCGGGAAACAGGTAGAGGCGTGTCCAAACAGGGCAGGGCGGGGCCAGGGTAAACATGCCGATAACAATTGGCCCGTGGAAGGTGCGACCGGGTAGGCAGAGGCGGCAGAGGGCGAGCCAGAGAGGCGGAGGGTGGGTTATGGTGGAGCGGTCATGCAGAGGCGCGGGCCATGACGTAAACAATCTGTGTTGCTCTGCGCATCTCGGAGGCGGCGTGCAGATGCGCGTGATGGCCGGTGCGGTTCCCGCGGTCCCGCAGCCCCCCCGGCCCCGGGGTCCCCTTGGGCACCCTGGTGTGGGGGATCGGCGTGACCTGCGCTCCCGAAAGGCTCCAGGCAGCGCTGCCCCCTCCCTCGGCCTCGCCGCAGAACGGAGCAGGGTGCTGGGGTTCTGTCTGGGTGCCGAGGCCATGAAGATTAACCAGGACACGGTGCTGCGAGGGAAGAAGGTGGCGCTGGTGCCCTACACCGCCGCACACGTGCCCCGGTACGTGGCTCGTGTCCTGCTCGGTCTGATTTCACTTCTCTCTCTGAAGCGAGTGTGGTGGTCAGAGAGGGCTGGGCCTCTTCCCCCTGGGAATCACTCCTGGGAAGGCAGCGAGTGTGCCCTCTGTGCCCGGCTGTGCTCTGTGCCGGCTCTTCTGGAAGGGAGAACTTTATCTGTGCCATTGAGTATACCCGTGGAAAAGGGGAAATACCTGCCTGTCAGTGAGTGAACACCAGCGGTTCTCTTGTTCGTTGATGCCTTTCCCTACTGACAGTGTAAGAGCAAAAAAAACCCACAAAACTTAAATGTGTGGATGTTTGATACATTATGTGTGTAGGTTTGTGAAGTGCTTGCCTGGACGGCTGCAGATGCCAGTATTGATGTTTTTGTCAGCATCCAGGAGATGCCGGATCATCTCACTCGGGATGAAATGCACTGGAACCCAGTGCTCTCAAATACACCCAGTTAGCATTGGGCACTCTTTAGGCAAAGCCACTGAATTTCCACAGAGAGCTCTGATTCCTGTGTTAGAAAAGGGAGAGAAGGCTGTGGACACTTTTAAGTTGCCACAAAGGCTGGCCTGATGTTTCCAGAGCTGGTTTATACCCTGATCCTCAGGGTGTTGGTGGAGATCCACCCGCAGTGCTGCAGCTGGGGCAGTGACGTGGCTCTGGGTCCCTTGTCAGGTACCACGAGTGGATGCAGTCGGAGGAGCTGCAGCGCCTGACGGCCTCGGAGCCCCTCAGCCTGGAGCAGGAGTACGAGATGCAGCGCAGCTGGAGGGAGGATGCCGACAGTGAGCACCTGAAATGTTCTCTAAGAAACGGTGGGAGTGGTGGACAGGTCCTTTCCGTCCTGGGAAGGACCCACAGTGAGCTGGGAGTCTCCCCCGAACCAGAGGGGATGTGAGACCCTCTACAACAGCAGCTTTGAACTGGCTTTCTGTTATATATAAACCATGTCAGGGAACTAGGGGATGTCCAGGGCTGTTGGTGTCCTTTTTATGCAGTTTTTTAAAGATTACAGTGAATTACTTCCCACGGCATTGTGTGCTGAGCTGATCCTGCACAGCCAGCACTCCCCAGGTCTGATCATTATAAAAAAGTGGAAAGAGGTTGTATTTTTCCTTGAGAAATCCAGTGATTTTTATAATCATCTGCTTGAAGCAACTGAATTGGTTCCCTGACTCTCCTACAGGTAATGAATCCCTGCCCATAAAAGCCTGGTAGAAATATAGTGAGCTGGAAAATACTGAAGCTGGCAAAGACCCCAGTCTGGAGTATTTGTCTTACTCAAAGCATTAAAAGCCTTACTCAAAGCAGTAATAACATGGACCAGATGAATCACTAGGTCTCAGCCTCTTGTGCACCAAACAATTCTTTGCCCAAACTTGCTGCTGAGTGAGGCAAGGCGAGGAGACTTCAGACATGGGATGGACGTTTTCATCCTTAAAACATGCTGCTTCTAGTCTTGGTGTCTTTGTCACCCTCGCAACGGGTCTTCCCAAATATTTCTTACATTTCTATGGTTGGGAGCAGGCACACTTGGCGTGGGAAACGCAGTTATTAGCTCTTCCTCGCTGTTAATGTGTGGAAACTGTTGTTCCTCTGACCATTACCTGCATTTAGTTTCATTCTTCATTGATTTGGGGATAATGCTCAGCATGCCCTGAGAATGCTGCCTCTTTCTTGTCTTCCCCAGAGTGCACCTTCATCGTGCTGGACGCGGCGCGGTGGCCGGGCCAGGCGGAGGAGGAGTCCTGCATGGTGGGGGATGTGAACCTCTTCCTCACCAACGCCGAGGATCCCACCCTGGGAGAGGTTGAAATTATGATTGCAGGTCAAGTTCTGCTTCGTAGCTTTGTTTCCACAGCTAAAGCCAGCTGCAGACAGGTGTTACATACAGCAGCTTTTTATTCTCATGCTTTACAGTGGCTGTTCAGCCCTGATGAGACCTTTGTCTGTCCAGGTCACAGTCTCCTCTGAAAAGTGTCTGGTGTGGCTGATTTGTCTCCCATAAGTGGATGCTGACTCTGTGACTGTCTCTTTCAGAGCCCTGCTACCGAGGCAGAGGGTTTGGCAAGGAGGCAACTCTGCTGCTGATGGCCTATGGTAAGGGTGGCTCAGTGCACAGGAACAGGAGTGCAGGCAGCCTGGGATCCAGAAGCACATACTCCTAGTGATTCAGACAGGGTAGTAAGGGATGCATCTGCCCCAAGACTGGAGTCCTGTGCTTTTATAGAAGCCAAACTAGTAATAGAAATGCTTCTCTGATTTCTTTTACAGGAGTGAGAAGCCTGGGGATCACCAAATTTGAGGCTAAGATTGGTCAGGAAAATGAAGCCAGTATCTGCATGTTCAAAAAGCTTCACTTTAAGGAGGTGCGGTAACAGCCCATCTTCTACCCAGAGAACATGTTTCCCCCCTGACTGGTACTGAGCTGCTTTCCCTCTGTGTGATGCAGGTTGCTGTGAACAGCTTTTTCCAGGAGGTGACGCTGAAGCTGGATGTCAGTGACCAGGAGAGACGATGGCTCCTGGAACAGACAAACCACGTGGAGGAGAAGAGCTACACTGAGCTGAAGCGGCCAGTTGGGGTGCTGGAGACCTGACAGACACATCCAGACACGGGCTGGGTTTCCAGGGAGGAGCTGGACGCTGTTGCAAGATCTGGGCGTGGAGGACACCGCTGAGCCAACACTGCACTTGACTGTTTTCAGTTGCTTTGTCATCTTGTCAACTTTGCACTTTGCTGCGCCAGCCAGAATTACGGCCTGAAGTTTGGACCTGGAGAACAGCCACTAATTCACAGGTTTGGCTAGGAATGACTATAACCTTCACATGCCGTTCCAGCAGAGCCTAAAATCACCAGCAGTTGTTTCCTGGTGCCACCAATTTCTGTACAAGCAGTAACTTCTCCCACTGCCCTTGGAGCAGGATTCATCTGTTTGGCAGACATGGTCTCATACGCTGGCAGCTCAGTTTGTTTACTCTTGAATTAAAAAAAAAAATGACAAAGCTCTGAGGTGCCTGAGCACAGTGTGAGGCTCAGCTGCTTGCTTTGGCTGCTCAAAGTGTGGTTATGGTTTGTGACAGACAACAGAGACTCTTTGAACCCAATCTTCCAGGGTCTGGTGCGTTGCAGGGGGGCACTGCTGTGTCCTGGCAGGGAGAGGCCCTGGTGTGGGTGAGCACAACCAAAGGGCAAGTTAATGTGATGAAAATTGTTGATATTGGCTGATCAAGACTAGAGCTGAGCCCCACCATGACAGCTGTGCAAGGGAGGGGCTGGGAGCTGCAGGAGGCTGCTGAGACAAACCCCCCCAGAGCTTCAGGGCCGTGCTCCAGATCTGGAAACCTCAGGCCAGCATTGAAGGGATATAGCACTTCATTTTCCCTGGCTGCTTTGATGGAAGCAAGGAGGAAGAGGAGAATACAGTGAAAGGAGACAGCTCCCTTCTTCCAGCAGCTCAGGACTTGCTCTGCTGAGCCTGGAGGCTCCATTTGCTGCTCCACTAAGAAGGATGGGGGGAAAAATATCTATGACTGGGGGGCAGATATATTTAGGTGGGAGTTAACCAGCCTGAGCAGCAGTAGATCCAAGATCTATGGATGAAGAAGGGGCACTTGCCTGACTCCCACTGGACAGACTTACCCGTGCAGTTACTCAGCCTGACCTCTCCTGCCCTACACATCCTCTCTACAGCAGGGAGGCTTGCTAAGAGGAGAGGACAGAAGGTAAGGAGGATAACTGACTCTTGTGTGTTTTCCCACTGTAGTAGCAGCCGTAATGGCTAATCCTAGACCAGAAATTATCTGTTCCAATGACGCAGGATCAGGTAATAACTTTCGGATTCGCCCAGGGATGTTTATATTGGAGACTGGCAGTCTGTGGAATTTTTAGTGTTGCTGTGCCTTATATTTTTAGAGCCTGGGGCGTTTTAGTTTTCCAATTTTAGTTAATTTAAATACATGATTCCTGTGACTAATATTAAAGCCAAGCGTGGGAACAGTGTATCACGGTATTTTAAAACAACAAGTATTTAGCGTGGATTTAGTTGTAGGGAAAGCTTTGTGTGGTAATAAAGTGAAGAGCAGCTCTACTTCCCGCTGGGATTACCATGACAAGGGCTACTAATCCTCCTGCTCTTCGTCACCTGCTGCAGGCAGGAATGGATTCTGTCCTCCAGAACAAGATTTGCAGAACCTGCTGGGCAAACTGCTGGCTCTGTGCTCCTTCCGTGGAGTGTTTCATCCCTGTGCCAGAGGAGTCAGGCCAAACTGGGAGGAGAGATGGAGCTGAGCTGGGATTTGCTCCCCTAAAAGCCGAACAAGGTGGGAAAAATAACTTAACCTCTGGTGCCAGGGAAAAGGGGCAGTGATATCCTGTCATAGCTCCCCATGCCCAGCCGGTTGCTCTGGAGCCAGCGAGTGCCCAGCTTGGCATCCCCGGTCCCCTGGCAACGCCGGCGCTCTCCCGCCTCCACAGGGGCTGGGAAAAGCCTTTGCCTGGCAACCCAACACAAAGTTGGGTCTGTCCCGGAGCTCAGCCCTCCCCCAGGCTGGGGTGGTCCCAGCGAGGCTCAACCAGTGTTCCCACAGGGAACCAGTGCCCGGCTGCTCCGACCAGGCCAAGAGGCAAAAGGTGCTCCTGGGACCCACTGGATGTCCCCAGTCCTGCCCTGCATGGGTAGCCCCAGCCAGGCTGGGATGTCCTGCTTGCTCTCCAAGGGGGTGAAGGTAGGAAAGAGAAGACAGGAGCTCACCTATTTCAGAGGACACCTTTGGAGGATGAGGCTCGTTGGGAATGGGCTCCCCCCACCCCACCCCCAGCTTCTAGGGGGAAGTGACAGCCTGCACATTCCCTGGAAATGTGACACCTCATCACTTGGTTGTCATTTGAGGTGCAGACCTCTGCGACCACTTGTCAGCTCAGGTAGAGCAGCTTGTCTGGGAGTTTGGAGCACAAAACAGGAGTGTGCAGAAGGGGAGGAAATGAAGACACTGGGCAGAGACTGGGCCCAGCCCTGCCCTGTGCTCAGTGCAGCCATGGTGCCACCATCCTGGCCCTGCTGAGCCACCCAGGGCTAGATCCATCCATTTAGAGGGACAAACAACTCCTCCCAGCCCATCGCTCCTGCTTTCCCTCCAACCCAGGTGCAACCCAGGCTCACCCTAAAAACCTCCAGGGGGGCTGGGGGCAAATTGGAGCTGCCCCCAACAGAGCTGCTGCCCTCCAGCCTGGTTGACAGACCTGGATTAGAGCTTTGCATCACTGCCCTCACTCCCCTGCACTCCCCAGGGGATTAGAGTCCTTTAATCACCCTGAGGCATTAACCCCCACTGG